TCAAAGATGAAAGTGCAAAGGCAGGTCTGATGCTGAACATGAAGAAAATAAAAATAACGACCACAGAAGAAATACATAAATTCAATCTAGACAATGAGGAAATTGAAATAGTTAAATAATTCCCATATCTAGGATCAAACATTAACCAGAATGGAGACTGCTGTCAAGAAATAAGAACACTGGGAATGGGAAGGGCAGCTATGAAAGAACTGGAAAAGATACTGAAGAGCAAAGACATACAACTGAGCACTAAAGGCAGAATAGTTCAGGCCATTGTATTCCCAATTACTATGTATGGTTGTGAGAGCTGGACAGTGAAGGAAACAGACATAAGGAAAATCAACTCATTTGAAATGTGGTGCTGGAGAAGAGTACTTAGGATACCATGGACAGCCAAGAAGACAAACAAATGGGTTCTTGAACAGATCAGACCAAGGGTCTCCTTGGAAGCAAAGATGATCAAGTTGAGACAATTGTACTTTGGCCATATAATGAGAAGGTATGGATCACTAGAAAAAACAATAATGCTAGGAAAAGTAGAGGGTAGAAGAAAGAGAGGAAGACCACAAACCAGATGTATAGACTCAATCTGAGAGGTTATGCTTGCAGGATCTGGGCAAGGCAGTGGAAGATAGGGATTCTTGGAGATCTCATCCGCAGGGTCGCCATGAGTCAGAACTGACTTGAGGGCAGCTAACAACGACAACAAGAAGTACCCAGAAAGAAGTATACTTGCAATTTGGCCCCTGGACTGAAAAAGAGTCCCACCTGGGGAAGGAATTCAAACTATATATAGGCTGTTACACAAGCACCCAAATCTGCAGATCCTTGTGTAAAGAAATAGTGGTTTTTCCTTTCACTCTTTTAATGCCACATATTCCTCCTCCCACCTGTTGCCCTTTGACTGAAAGAGTGGTTTTTCCTCTTACACTCTTATCATGCCACCTGAAAGGTGCTCTTTGCTGCAAATTTTGTGTGTATTTTGTGAGGAAATAACAAAGAGGAATATTTAATGGTATCAATCTAAAAAAAAAAGTTTAATGTTGCATTTTGCTTTCTTAGCCCTTGATGTAATAACTCCAGTGTGCAGAAAAGTGGGCTAAAATGGGGGGAGGATGTTGGGAAGCAATACTATGTATGTGTGTGGGGAAATGGGATATAAAAATGAGTAAACCTCTCTCTCCCCAAGCCCTCACCTAAATTCTTGCCCTGCCTGTATTAAGGCCATAGGCTTTGGATGCCTTGCAATCCGAACCACATAATTGCACTTGAAATAAATGAATTGAAAGAAAGCAGTGAACCAAACTGTACATTGTCCAAATCAAAAATTTTAAGGGACATGAAATGCAAGGAGAATGAAGCAGAGGAACAATAAAGAAGCAAAATAGGGAAATTCCAACATCCTTAGTAGTTCTGGAACAGAATTAGAGATGGGAAGATTAATTGAAAATATCTGAAAAATGAAAAACTTGTTTCTTGCATATCAAGAAACCCTAACAAGAAGAATCCTGGAATGTCGAGGATCTTTGCAGTTTAGAACTTATTCTACACAAAATTTGAATGTAGTGGTTTTGGACAGAAATCAGTATTTTTCTGCTGCATAGAAAAATGCTGCCTTCTTTGTGTGTTAATCTGCACAGAATTTTCAGCCTATTTCTGCAGAGAATATGCTCCTTCCTATGCAGAAAGTGCTGTTTACTGTGCAAATAACTATGTGCACTTTTTTTTCAGAACAAAACTTGAACTGCAAATAGACTTTGAAAACTGCACAGTTTTCAAAGATTTTCTCACAGCAAAAAGAAATTTGTTAAAATTGCTCATTGATTGCTTTGAGAAGAAAATTAACAGTTACATCTCTAAATAATATCAGACACTGCCCATTCCAGAACAGCAATAGTATCCAACTAGTATCATTTTGTCCATGGAAGCCACCCATAAAGAACAGAATAGGGAGTGATTTTTTTGATTACTCTCATTCCGATAATTTTAATATTTCCCTGGAGCCCTTCCCAAGTCACTCCAGAGGATTCCTCAGTGCTCCAAAAGTGAGGCTTGGAGGGATGCAAAGTGAGCTTCAAAGAGGAAAAGGAACTGCTGATTTCTTCCTCCTTCCTGTTTTACTGGTGGAAGCAGAGCAAAGGTGATTTGAGAGTACCCTAAAGTAATAATACACCAGTCTTCAATTTATCCTCTTGGCACATTGGCCAAAATATCAAAAACATTTTGATGAGTTTAGTCATTTGTAGTATGCTGTGATCAGAGGGCATAGGGTATCAAAGTCAATTATATTGCATGTTCCTGTAAGTTTGTTGTTAAGATGAACTTTGAGAGCTGGTGTGGTATAGTGGCTTGAGCATTAAACTACAACTTTGGTGACCAGGGTTCAATTCCCTGCACATCCATGGAAACCCACTGGGTGACCTTGGGTGGGTCAACACTCTTGGCTGCAGACAACCCCATGATAGAGTCACCTTACGGTCATCAAAAGTTGGAAATGATTTGAAGGCATACAAAAACAAAATTAAAAACAACAACAAGACAAACCTATCATGGAGTGTTTTTGGCAAAAATGTTTGAGAGAGGGTTTGTTTTTGCCTTCTTCTGAAGCTGAGTCAGTGTGACTTGCCCAAGGTCACCCAGTAGGTTTCCATGGCCAAATAGGGATTTAAATCCTGGTGTCCAAGTGCCCTAGTCCAGCATTCAAACCATACATCACACTGGCTCTTTCCTGTATGATACAGGGTTCATTCTGTAGTCCAAAATTAGGAAAATGCCAGAAGGAAATTATTTTTACTGGACTAGTATCATTTGAAATGGGCTTTTGTGCTTCACAGAGAGATCCCTTTCAATGTACGGTACCATCTGCAGTGAGAACTTCCTAATACTTTTCTCTTTCTCCATAAAATATTCATTAGCCAAGAACAAAGTGGCACTGTAAGATGTTCTTGAAAGGCCTTTAAAAATAGGCAAACAGAAAAGTAGCCATCCATCTCAAAATACAATGTTTTTAACATTCTGGCTAATGACAAAGAGTCACCATTGGAATTAACATCGTATTGCTTGCTTGATTTCACTCCTTTAACAATGAGGTATGGCTATGACCAGAATCTGTACGTTCAAGCCACATGAAGAATTAATGTCCGATTGCTGAGCAGAGGGGCGGGTTATAAATAAAACTTATTATTATTATTATTATGCATATTTTGTTTAATTCTATTATCTTTGAGGGAGAGGAAATGTAACAGCTGAGTATGCTGTGATGATAATGTACTTATTTGTTGATGTTCTAGAAAATTACAAAACTACATTACATGTTAAAACAATGAAGAAAAATTCCCCATGCTTCCTGCAGAAAAGCAACAATAAAAATGTGCATTTTTATTTGGTTGATTCTTATTTTAAAAAACACAATTGGGTGTTGTCAAAATTGTTATTTACAGACTCAGTAAACAAATACAGTGGCCCTTGGTATCTGCTCGGTTTTGGTTTCAGGACCCCTGTGGATAACAAAATCCATGGATTGCTGAACTCCCATTAAACTGAATGACATAAGGCTCATTCCCATTTCCATTTAATCCAGTTTGTGAGTCGCACTGACACCAGATTGCTTAAGCAATTTATTCCAATGAGTAGTTCCCACTATGGAAGCGAATTACTTCCTTATTCCATGTATTTGTGTCTTTTTTTTTTACATGATTGTCATTTCCACTTGGCGCTCTATCCCGGTCTTTTTTTTTTTAAATGTCAATTAATTGATGCACATGTACACATCATTGGTGATGCAAGGAAAGTGGGAGAAGAGGGAAGGGAAGGCTGGGAGGACCAGGCACCCCCTCAAAATGGAGAACCATCCAGGAAAAATATATATATGGAGGACAGCCCCAAATCAAAGTAAAAAACACTGCTAGGGATGTCAATGCATGCCTCTTAGCCCTGCTCAAAATGGAGGACATTTCCAAACCAAAGCCCAACGCTCCCCTGAATGTCCTCCATTCTCTAAATGATGCTCAGAATGGAGGATATTCAGAGGGATAAAGTAGGATGTGACCAAAACAATAGCTGAAAGCCAAATGGAGGACTTGCCAGCAAAAATGGGGGACATCACACACACACATACACATCCAAAAGCTAAAACCACACATATAAATTCATGCTTCCTAGTCATGCTCAGAATCGAGGATGATTTGGAATTCCTCCTGGACAGAAGATTGGAATGTAGGATGTGTCCTGGGAAAGGAGAGGGGAAAAAATGGCAGATTTCCCAAAAACCTGGGAGGAGATAGGTTACACCGTCTCCCAACTGTCTTCCATTAGTCCCTTCCCTCCAGTTTGATGCAATTCAGGTCCATTGCTCCCATTTGCTGAACATGCTTGCTAATTGATTCTTTTCAAAAGAACCACCAAAAACCTCCTCTTCAAAAAGTGTGTGTTTTTTGGATTTGTCCTGCTTCAAAGTGAGTCAGACGATCTCAGTTGTATCTTAAACTGTTCCCAATGAGGATGAGGCACATATACAGTGATCAGCAAATTGCTTCAAATCATGGTGGGAATGAGCCCATAGTAAAATGGTGTCCCTTATATAAAATGGCAAAATCAGTTTGCTTTTCGGAATTTATTTTAAAAGAAATATTTGCAAGCCATGGATGGTTGAATCTGTGGATAAAGAATCCATAGATATGGAGGGCCAACTGTACTACTAAATAAGCTAATATTATCTGAAATTAGTTTTTTTGTAGGTTTTTCGGGCTGTGTGGCCATGTTTTAAAAGAGTTTCTTTCTGACGTTTCGCCAGCATCTGTGGCTGGCATCTTCAGAGAATTATCTGAAATTGTCTGGACATAAAGTCCATTTACTAGCTACACCATGGTTGATGGCAGCATTAGGTCCTTTCTTTTTCATACGGAGTGCACACAGAGTGCATAGCAATGCTTTCTAACTTTTAGTGTAATGATGGCCTTGTAAAAAGAGATTGAAAAGAACTAAAAGCTTTTTTTATGACTCTTCACACTGCATTCTCACTTTAAAAAGAATCAGTTAAAAAGGCAGAGGAGAAGATAGAAGGCAGATGAATGGCAACCACACAGTAGAAGGTAATTCAAGACTCTGACTCCTGTTTGCCTACAGTGTGGCAGCTCTTGCCATTTTGTTTGCATCTGATTTTCACAGTAATGCAATGGAGTTTGAAAATGCAAGGATTTAGATACTCGATTGCATGAGTCCACATCCAAATCTCTTTAGAATAAAATTCAGAATACTTTGGGGGTAAGGTCTGACCCTAATAATCCTCTCTCATTTAAGTGGCAGGAGTATTGAAACAGACAACTCACCCATTTCAGCAGTGGTTCGGTGTTTCAGGGGTCAAATCCTGTGCCTTGTACTCAGTTTCTGGGGTAAACTACCTGTCTCTCAACCTCACAAACTATCTTGTGTGAAAAGCATGTTTTGTGAGTGATAGTCCCAATACAATAGTTCCATTTTAAACAATGATCATGCCCCCACCTCTATTGTCTCCTATTTATGATGGTGCCCATAACACAGTATCAAAAATACAAATGCACTTCAGAGTCAAGGACTCCTCTCTAAAAGCTCAATTGACATTAATATTGCATGAATTTTGCAAGCTCAAAGTCCTTGATAGGCCATTTTGGATAAAAAAACAAACATTTTTTTTCTTTTAATTTAAAAACGTGTCTACTTCTGTGTACCCAGGGAGTACTCAGACTATTAATCTGCTCCCAGCTTGATAGACAATCAGCTACTTAACTCTCCCAATAATAAAAATCAGAAGGATGGAAGAATCCAACACTCTTTCTTTTCATAATAGCATTTGTGTAGTTTGTTTTCATAGAGATATTTTCTGGGACACACTTAGGAGTGTTTTGTTTCTAAATCATGACCTCTTCCTTTAATTCTGCCAAGGGGTAATTGAATATATCCTGCCTGCCCCTACCTCTCACTCATTGTCAATGTTTCTAAGCCCTCCAATTCTTCACAGAAGACAGCACACATAACAGATTACAATTTACCAAAGGAACTCTTTAATGCCAAACACTTTTCTATAACTGCAACCACAGTGTAACTGTTGAAATTAATCTTGTCATCGAAAGAATACTTCTGGGATAACACAGGAGTTGAGTCACACAGCAGTGTTACCTCATAGAGATATTTCATTAATTAGCAATAGCACATCTTTGCTCTTGATGTGTATGTGTGTGTGTAGGGGTTTGTTATATTTAATTGCAGCCCATTTGTACAGATGTCATGCTATGATCCACAAAACAATAAGAAGCAATGAGATTCAAAACAGTTTGTATTGGGAAACAATTGTGTTAGAAAGGATTAGATCTAAATATTCAGTCTTAAAATTAATTGTGGATTGCACTTCATTAATCAGATGCATAATGACTACACTGTCTTATGAAGGAGAATGTCTCTGGCATGTCAACACTTCCACATAAGAAATAACATCATATATGTATTTGAGCCTTCTAGACCTTTCTAGGCCAGTTCCTGCTAGAGAGGAGGAGGAAGTGAGCAGTGATTGGTGAAAAGTTCAGGTCATCAGGTGCCTTTAAATATTCTTTGAGGAGGAAGACCATAATCCTTTTTTAGGGACTAATTAAGACTTCTCAGTATGGACACTGAGGGAACTGCTGCCGTTACCTGCAACACTTGTGGGATGTTTGTCTTCTTGCCTACAGATGTGGTGAACTTCACATGCCCCAAGTGCAAGTTGGTATCCCTCTTGGAGGAGAAAGTGCAGCAGCTGGAGGCACGGGTAGCTACACTTCAGCATATTAGGGAGCAAGAGGTTTTCCTGGACAGAACACAACAAACCGTCTTGGACAGGGACCACACAGAGGAAGTTGCAGGGGAAGAGAAGGTTACTTCACATGCACAGGAGGTAGACAGCTGGAGGAATGTCACTCACATAAGTAGGGAGACCAGGGATCGTTCTGGGAGCTTGCAGCTACAGAATCGATTTGAAACTCTTTCCCTTATCAAACAAGATGAGGAAGAGCAACATGGACAGACTTCAGGGACAGAGCAGGGGAACCTGGGAGTTCCACCA